GGAAAGAATTTACAGAGAAAAAGCTGATCCTGTCCTACTAGTGGGGATGGAAAGGTCTACGATGTCCTCTAACATTCTTGTCAGAAAAGATCTTAAAGATACTAAATTCCCCTCCTACTTCACCGTGCCTCTTGGGGGCTCTCTAGATCAGTGCTATCCATGGACCTTTGTGTGACGGTAGAAATGTTCTGTAACCTTCCCAGTCCATTGTGGTAGCCAGTAGTCACATGTGGCTTTTTTGAAATGTGATAGTGCAACTGAAGAACTGAATTTTAAATTTTATTTTCTAATTTAAATTTAAGTAGCCACACGTGGATAGCACAGCTCTAGACAGTTATGTGGTTCTGAAAAATCTCAATGTTCCCCAAACCATTGACGCTCTTATCACCATATTTTATTCCCAACACTCTACCAGTAAGTATCTATATTGAAGAGTTGGTTGGTTGAAGCATCCTTGTTTGTGTAAAGAATGTGGGATGTGGAGTTGTAGGCAGAGGTTTTCAATGAAGCCCTGCCAGTCACTGAGCTGGTGGCCTATCAGTGTCATGTTTCCTCATTTATGAAGTAGGAATAATGGTACCTAATTTTTAGTGCTATTGTGAAGATTAAATGACATAGCACATGTAAAACATTGAGCATAGCACCTACTAATTATATTGGTCTCTAGCCACATCTGAATCAGGCACAGATTTCTTTGTTTTCTTCGTGTGCTTTTAAAAAAATAAATAACAGGCCATCTCTTAACCCCAGCACGTTTCTAAAGAGCACTCTGAAAGTGGCTTTATTATTTTAATACTGTAATGCCTGTGACTATCTCCAAATGTGTCTATTAAGAAATAGATTCTTGCTTAGCTGATATGGCTCAGTGGTTGAGCATCGACTTACAAACCAGGAGGTCACGGTTTGATTCTCAGTCAGGGAACATGCCCAGGTTGTAGGCTTGATACCCATTGTGGGGCATGCAGGAGGCAGCTGATCTATGATTCTCTCTCATCATTGATATTTGCTGTCTCTCTCTCCCTCTCCCTTCCTCTCTAAATCAATAAAAATATATTTAAAAATGAAATAGATTCGTCATAAGTCTAGGAAAGGTCTTTGTTTCTCTGAAAATACATTAGTATCACCAACAAGCAAAGGGAGGTTAGTGTAACATAAAGATTACTGAAATTATGTTTTCTGAGCTATTAGTGTTGCTTCATTTAATTGGTTAAAAGGCTTATTTTTCCAGATTATCTTTGTAATTGTGCCACTTTACTGTGTCCATCCTGTGGTGGAAAATAATAGCAGACATTTCCATGGTACACCTTGTTTTTTTTGTTTGTTTTTATTTGTTATTTTGCCTGTGAAGATTGGCACAGTAAGGGTTTGATATAAATTGAAAGTTTTAGGAAATGGAAAGTTAACTTTAACTGCTTTTTAATGGAAATCTTTCTGAAATGTAGAATGTTTTTTTAAAATTAAAGGTGTTTTACCAGCTTCCCAAAAATCGATTTGAAAACTTGGACCATCAAATAAAAACTAAAGTATAGAGTTAGAGGGGACCATAAGACCAAATTGACTTCGTGTGTCTGGTACATCAAACAAAACTTCTGGCATTGGGATATGTAGTGGTATTGACTGATATGAAAGAACAAAAACCTTTGTCTCTGATTACTCTGTACTTGGCTTGAGACACCAGTCTTTGGTCTTCCTGTTGAAGAAGATACCACATGTGTGGAATGGTGGAAGCTGCTCTGTGACTAGGAGCCCTCTCCATTCTGTGGTTACATGTCATGAGTGCCATGTGCCATCTTTGTGAACTGTTCCTTTAGATGCATCCACAGTTCAGGAAAGAAAATGAAATTTCCAATCCATAGTGTATTCTTAGGCAGCTACCAAAGAAAATGAATGCTATTCCTTCTTATGAACCATTATGAAGTGACTCCTCTCATTTTAATTTTGTCACTTTTATACCCCTCGAGTCAATCAAGCCTACTCACAGGTTTCAAAATCTATGATTGGTGTCAAAGTGTAATTCTCTAGTGGCATCCTTCAGGCTGGTCAGTATTTCTTTTTGAAAAATCAGACAGAAGCCAAAAACCAGGACTCCAGGCTTTATTAGAGGAAAAGCACCTGCCGGGCTGCCTCGCAAGGGGAGAACAGCAGCACGTGCAGGGGTGGGCATGCCTTTTGAGGGGCAGAATGGGAAGGGGTGGGGCTTAGTGTACTCGGCGCACACTGATTGGTGGCTTACTGCATTGTCCATATAGGACAAGGGCTTAGGGTATTTGGCAGGCGTGGATTGGTGGTCCAAATGTATAGTCCATATAAGGTACCTGGTTAGTCACTCAGGTATTTCTGGGCTGCAGGTTACGTCATACTCCACCCACCAGTTGGGGGAAGGGAGGATCTATCACTTTTTAAAAAAACGTATATTTTATTGATTTCAGAGAGGAAGGAAGAGGGAGAGAGAGATAGAAACATAAATGATGAGAGAAAGTCATTGATTGGCTGCCTCCTGCACACCCCCAACTGGATATCGAGCCTGCAACCTGGGCATGTGCCCTTGACCAGAATTGCACCTGGGACCCTTCAGTCCACAGGCTGACACTCTATCTGCTGAGCCAAACCAGCCAGGGCTGGTCAGTATTTCTTTTATCCTTTTTGACTCAGTTCAAATCTGCCACCTGCCTAGTTCTTCTCTCATTCTTTCAGTTACTTGCTCCCACAGCTCTTAAGTCGTCTATTTTGTACACAATTCTTACCTCTTTGTACTGAATGTTCGCAAGTGCTAAGTGCTCTTTAGTACACAGATGAAGTGTTCAGGGAAAGTTAGTTGAATGAACAAATTAAGGCTCTTGATACTTCCTTCTTCCTCTATCTGCTATTTTATTATTTCCCCCCCGTGCTTTTTAGATAGCTGTACCCGCAGTCATCAGTCCATTTTAATTTATCTGTTCTTATCCAGTTGGAAACAGCTGATGTGACCCTGTTCTCTGATTCCAAAGGTCCTGCTGGGGGTGGAAGAGTCTGTTTACTCCACATTTTAGAAGTCACTTACCCAGTCTTCCATCCTCCCCACCCCCCCAGTCATCTTCCTGGTGTTAGCACTCATATTCCTAATCTTGGTTGGGCTCAGCCTTGCCCAGGGGTGGGGGGAATGGGCAGAGTTCCTGTCCTGTTTTTTTTTCTTTAAAAAATATGCTTTTCTTGATTTTAGAGAGAGAGGAAGGAGAGGGATAGAGAGAGAGAAACATCCATGATGAGAGAGAATCATTGATCGGCTGCCTCCTGCATGCTACCTACTGGGGATCGAGCCCGCAACCCAGGCATGTGTCCTAACAGAGAATGGATCCTGTGACCTCTTGGTTCATGTGTCTGCACACAACCGCTGACCCACACCGGCCAGGCTCTGTCCTGTTTTATAAGGTGATTGGCGGGAGGAATGAGAAATAAAATTCAGAGCAGTCAGATTCAGATCAGTGCTATATAAATGTTAATTGTTTTAATTATGCAAGCTAGCCTTCATTGTCATGGATATATGAGTTAACTATACTTTTTAAACTACTGGTAATTATAGTATTTCAGGAAAATAGTAAAGTCAGAAGAGCTTTTGAAAATCATGTAGCTCAAACCCTCACTTGGCTAAAATCTATAGACTTTGCTTTGTGCTGAGTTCTCATAGCTAGTGGGTGGCTGCGTTGGATGCCTCTGTGTGCCCCTCTAGAGTTACTCGAAACCCTTCTCCACTTTCTTCTCCATTCCAAGCGCTGACTTGTATGGAAGAGTTCAGAGGTTCCTTTGCCCTCTGGTTTCCCATTGGATTCATCCACAGGGGAGCACTAGTGTGAGGATGGAAGGAAGGTGGAAATACAGGGTCCCTGATGCCTGGCTGCATCCCTTGATCAAAGGTCATAGCTCCTGTCATGTGACCATCTCTGTAGAGTTCCTGGTTCTGACAGTCATTCCTCTGGCCCCTTCCGGCCTAGGGATGGTATAAAGCTCCCTGTTTTAGCCTCAAGTACTGCCCTCTCCCTTGTGGTTTTCCTGTACTTTCCCCACACTTCTATAAATAATCCCTTATTAAACACTCCTCAAATTGCTCAATTTGAGGGTGTGCCATCTGTTTCCTGCCAGGACCCTGACTCATAAAGTCCTGGGACCCAGATCTCCTGGGCTGTCAGCCCTGTGTTCTGTTTGTGGAGATTAGCCTCCATCAGTCTTGAGTCCCTGAGTGACTGATGTGAACAGAGGCCTCCGGTGCCAGCACTCAGTGGACATGTTGTATGAGTAATGGATAAAACTATTCTTGGGTTCAACTGCTGAGGTTTTAGGAAATTTTAAAAAATATGTGTTTTTAATTGATTGCGGAGAGTAAGGGAGAGGGAGAGAGAGAAACATCCATGATGAGAGGTAATCATTGATTGGCTGCCTCCTGCATGATCCTTACTGGGGATTGAGCCCACAACCCAGGCATGTGTCCTGACCAGGAATTGAACCATGACCTTCCCGGTTGATGGGGTCAATGCTCAACCACTGAGCCACACTGGCCAAGCTTAGGAATTTTGATATTGCAGTAGAAGACGGCCCATTATACAAGGCCTGATTTATTTTCTCTAAGTTGGGAGAAATGATAGTGCTACCCACAGGCTTTTATGAGGACTGAGATTGTAAAATATTTAGCATAGTGCCTGCTTCATGGTAAATCCTTAATAATTGTTATTATCATTGTTAACTTTTCTTTGTCATTGGGTTAAAAACAAGACAATTCTTTTGTCATATACAGTTGGCCCTTGAACAACACAGTTTTGAACTGCATGGGTCCACTTACATGCATGGTTTTTTCAATAAATAAATACTTGTACTATTTCAATCCACAGTTGCGAGTCTGCAGATGTGGAAGGCACTGATCTACTCCATCTTATATAGGGGATTTGAGCATCTTTGGATTTGGATATCCACAGGGGATCTTGGAACCAATTCCCCATGGATACTGAGGGACAACTAAGTTTTGAGGGAGACAGAAATTATATGGATTTTCGACTGTGCAAGGGGGTCAGCACCCCAACCCCCACATTGTTTAAGGGTCAATGGTAATGATAAGCTAGTAGAGTTTTGTATTAGTTGGGGTTCTTCAGGCAAACAGAGAAAATAGGAGATGTATGTGGTGTGTGTGTGTGTGTGTGTGTGTGTGTGTGTGTGTGTGTAAGAGAGAGAGAGAGAGAAAGAGATTGAAATTGAGAAATTATAAGGAATTGGCTCATGCAATTATGGAGGCTGAGAAGTCCCAAGATCAGCAGGCCTAAATCCTACGAACCAGGAAAGCCAATGCTATAGTTCCAGTCCAAGTCCAAAGGTAGGAGGAGACTGACATCCCAGCTGAAAGACAGCCAGGCAGAGAGATGATTGAGTTCTCCATTACTGTCTTTTTGTTCTAGTCAAGCCTTCAACAGACTGGATGTGTCTCACCCACATTACACAGCTACCTGGCAGAGTAGCCTCATGAATTCACAACTACCCATTGGTGGGGTAATACCAGCAGCAGCAGTGAGACTTAGAGCTAGAAGCAGCAGATGTGTTGAGGAAGCAGTGGGGAGAAGAGAGGGCTGCTGGTCATTTTAACTGTCAGGGAACCCAGAAATTTCCCACAAGTATTCACACTCAAAATGAGAGGTCCCCACTGGGAGTAAACAACTTCATAGGCATGTTAGATAACAACAGTAAAACTGGGAGGGACTTTATGGGCTTCAGTTGGTGGGTGTGGGCAAGGAGACTAGAGGAGGTGTGAGACTTCTGGAGAGACCTGAGCCCCCAGGGCTCTCAGAAAATACCCAGGGAAGATCTATCTGGAAGCCACTCCGTATACATGAACTGCTAGGACCATGGACCTCGATTGATGGGGCTTTGAAGGAGAAAGAAAGCTAAGAAAGTGGAGGAGAGCAGATTAAGTAGATCTGAGTGCTGGGGATGTGACTACACCCAAAAGCCATGTTTTTAATACTTCAATGTAAAACCAGAAGAGGGAGCCCTAGAGCCATGAAACAAGGAAATCTACTCTGACTTAATATGAGGAGCAGAAATGGATTAAGGTTGAACTTCTTGCAAACATATTATAATCAGAAAAATGAAGGTAATCATTCTGAATAATCAAGTTACAGAAAGTGGAGTCATACCAGAAAAATAGGGTCCCAAGGCAGACAAAACATTATTAATATTTCAACAGAACCTAAGGGAAATTTTAAAAAATGATAGAAGTTATGAAAGAACTGTGTATATCATTATTAGAAAATTTAAAAGTGAGAGGACTAAACAATAGGACATCATGAAAAGAGAGTCAGCCAAAAGGAATGGAGGGGGGGACCTGTGAAGTGAAAGAGATGTTAAAAAGTACATATTTTAAAAAATAAATTTTAAAGTGGGCAAAACCAAACGATAGTGTCAGGGAATATACATCGGGTGGCCAAACTATAAGGAAATGAAAGGAAGCATTTACTATAAAATCAGGTTAATGGTTATTACTTTTGAGTGAAGGAAGAGTTTGAGATTGGGATGGAGCATACGGGGGAGTTCTGTGGAGCTGGCTAAGTTCCATTTCTTGAACTGGATGATGGTTACATGAGTGGTTTGGCTTATAATTCACTAAGCTAAACATTTGTTTGCTTTATTCTTCTAATTGTATCAGTTTGTGATGCTTTTGGCTGCAAATAACAGAAAAACCTGGCATTACCAGCTTAAACAAATAGCTGTTTATCTTGGCTAACAGTCCTGAGCTGGTGCCCAGGCTCCTACTACAATCAGGCATCCAGATGCTCAGTGCACAGTGCTACTCTGTCTTGTGGGTAGAGACCAGGGATGCTGCTAACTGTCCTACAATGCACAAGGCAGCCCCCCACAACAAAGAATTTTCTAGTCCCAAATGTCAACGGAACCAAAGTTGAGAAAGTCCAAACCCCTTTCAGGGGGTCCATAAGGTCAACACTGATGTAAAAATAATAGTAATACGTTTGTAGCCATTTTAACTTTCATTCTTTAACAAGTATACAGTGAATTGGGTTTTTCCTGAGGCTGTATTAACGTGTGATATTGACTATCTTTTGATGAAATGCAGAAACAGAGATAAGAACCATCTGTCTTACATTAATCAAGATTTTAAAAGGTGTGAAAAAATATGAAACAATGGCTCTCTTCTCACTATTTTTTTTTTGCTTTGGAAAATATAATTGCTTTCTATTAAAATATGTAATCACATAATAGATTTATTAGTAGTTTTAAATGAATACATTTTTTTTTGCTTTACTCAATGCAGTATATATTGGTAGCTTAGAAAACTAAAGCTTTTTTGGGGCCTCAGTGATTTTTTAGAGTGTAAAGGTGTCCCGAAGCCAAAAGTTTGAGAACTGCTGGTCTGGAGACTAGCTGATTTTTAAATACTTAGGAAATGTGGAGACTATGAGAAGTGTAATTACGTATAGTCTGTCCTAAACGAAGACTTATTTTAAAAACCGTCATTAAAGCCTTCTCTTGCTCCCTAACCCTCTGCTAGGCTCTGGGAGCACAGTGGTCAATAAAATAAGGTTTCTGCCCAATGGTAGAGCTGAATCGTATTCCTTGTGATTATGCACTTTAAAAAAAATATTTTTGTTGATTTCAGAGAGGAAGTGAGAGGGAGAGAGAAACATCAATGATGAGAGAGAATCATAGATCTTCTGCCTCCTGCATGACCCCTACTGGGGATCGAGCCTGTAACCCAGGCATGTGCCCTGACCGGGAATCGAACCCTGACCTCCTGGTTCATAGGTCAACACTCAACCACTGAGCCACGCTGGCCGGGCAATTGTGATTATGTATTTTAAAGTTCTGTAATAGAGGCTGTTTCAAAGAGTGACGGGCTTCCGGTGGAAAGGGCAGTGTTTCAGTGCAGTGTTATTATAACCCAGCATCATCTCACCACTCATCCTGATGAGGAAGATTGCCATCCTCACTTCTGCCATAGACAGACACCGCGTCGTTGACTCCAAACTGCCCTGTCCCACTGAACATAAGAATTGCTTCTATAAATTTGTCATCGATGGCTTAAGGTTAGAAACAGAAACTAACCGATGTGCTTTTGCTCACCTTTTAGTCACTGTACTGGCGATATTTAATGAGTTACATGCAGACGTGGACCTCTATGCACTTCTGTTTGGAGAAAGCGTCCTAAATGATGCTGTTGCCATTGTGCTGTCCTCGTAAGTAACACTATGTCTGCCCGGGAAGAGAGACTGGCTTCCTGAATGCTCAGAGGCCTGTCTGAAAAGTATTAAATTATTGAATTGGGTGTTTTTCTAAATGAGGTTTCTCAGCTTGATGGATAACGTTACATTGCTTTGTCCAGTCGTCAGCAATCAGAATGTTGTACCAGCGTAGCATGGTGACTGCAGATTAAGTTCAATGAAGACACCCTAGGGCAGCGGTTCTCAATCTGTGGGTCGCGACCCGTTTGGCGGTCGAACGACCCTTTCACAGGGGTCGCCTAAGACCATCCTGCATATCAGATATTTACATGACGATTCATCACAGTAACAACATGACAGTTATGAAGTAGCAACGAAAATAATTTTATGGTTGGGTCACAACATGAGGAACTGTATTTAAAGGGCCAGACGGTTGAGAACCACTGCCATAGGGAGTGCCTGGCAGACTATACATATGTATGTTTGTTAATAGTTTTTGGTACCATGGTGTAAAACCAGCGCAGTCTTTTTTAACACTTTTTTCTTCTTTTTAAACTCCAGGTCTATTGTTGCCTATCAGCCAGCAGGGCTGAATACTCACGCCTTTGATGCTGCTGCCTTTTTTAAGTCAGTTGGCATTTTTCTAGGTATATTTAGTGGCTCTTTTACCATGGGAGCTGTGACTGGTGTTGTGACTGCTCTAATATCCTTTTTGTACTTTCTGCCCCTGCCTGGGTATGATTGTGTGATGTTACACTTGCAAAAAGAAAGTTGTCAGTTCCTCCTTTCAGAAATGAGTCTTACATCTATTGTTCCAACGGGGTTTGGGGGCTCCTGAAATGTCACTTTGGTAAAACATGACAGTCGAGCCCAGCTGGCGTGGCTCAGTGGTTGAGCATTGATTCATGAACTAGGACAGTGATGGCGAACCGATGAACCAGGGGAGCTCAGTTCAATTCCCCTGAGGGCACATGCCCTGGTTGAGTGCTCAGTCCCCAGTAGGGGGCGTGCAGGAGTCAGGGGATCAATGATTCTCATCATTGAAGTTTCTCTCTCCCTTCCTCTCTGAAATCAGTAAAAACATTACAAAAACACATGACAGTTGAGTGCCTGGCTAAGGGGATGCGGAAATGTTTGCGGTGTAACGCTAGGCTTAGCTCTGCCCTGTAGAAATCAAGGTCTCACAGCCTCATCTTCCCAAGCCATCCCTGGGCACTCCCCCCACTGTCAGATCTAACCTGACAGACACCTCAGGCCATGACTGTGCCTTTCAGAACCATGGGCATTGCGAGGAGCACAGAAAACACATTTGCAGTTTCTTTAGAAAGCTTAATTTCAAATCAAAAACAGCTTTATTGAGACCAAATTCACATGTACAATTCCCCCTTTTTTGTTATTTTTTTTAATTGGCTGGCCCATGTGACTTATGAATTTTTTTTATTGATTAAGTTATTACATATGTGTCCTTATCCCCCCCACATAACCCCTCCCACTCATGCCCTCACCCCCCTGGTGTCTGTGTCCATTGGTTAGGCCTATATGCTTGCATATAAGTCCTTTGGTTGATCTCTCCCCCTTACCCCCACCCTCCTCTGCCTCGATGGTGTTTGGGATTTGACATTACTCATTTTTTAAAATTTTTTTATTGATTAAATTATTGCATATGTGTCCTTATCCCCACATTCCCCCCCATACCCCCAGATATTACTCTTTTTTTTTTAAATTGTGGTAAAATGTATATAACATAAAATTGGCCCTTATAGCTATTTTAAGTGTACATTTCGGTGACATTAAGTACAACCACAATGTCGTGTAACTAGCCCCACTATCTCCTTCCAGAACTTTTTCATCATTCCAAACAGAACCTGGGTACTCATTAAACAGGATCCTCCCCCTTTCCCAGCCCTTCATAACCTCTACTCTCCTGGGAAGCTTGATTTTTCTTCCTTTAAAAAGCAAGCAGCACCTTTGGGGCCCCCAAAAGAAGAGCTGAGGGGAAAGGAAGGCCCCTAGAAAGAGGATCCTGGGCTAATAGAATGCGGTTCTTGGTGACTCTGGTATGTGTTCCTGGAGATGAGTTCCTTGACAGGGGCTGACGTGACCAAGTTTACCAAGCTGCACTGCTTCCCCCTGCTGGAGACTGCGCTGTTCTTCCTCATGTCCTGGAGCACCTTCCTCCTGGCAGAAGCCTGCGGGTTTACAGGTGGGTTTTCTCTGCCCTGGGGCTACCATTTCCCTCACTGTATCTGGGAGCTTGGCGGGAGGGAAGAATTCTTCAAGAGCAGCGGCTTGGGGCTGCTGGGCTTGCCTATCTTCACTTTGGGTTTCACCAGGGATTTTTCCTGCTGCCTTTTATTCCTTTGCTTTAAAAAAACAAACCCACACTCTCCTGCTAGGTGTGGTAGCTGTCCTTTTCTGTGGAATCACACAAGCCCATTACACCTACAACAACCTGTCGGTGGAATCAAGAAGTCGAACGAAGCAGGTGAGCCTGAGCCCTGGGTCCTCACAAGTCCCTGTGACGACAAGGGGAGGGGACCCGCAGGTTTAATGCTTCCTTTTCCTTCTCCCTGCAGCTCTTTGAGGTGTTACACTTCTTGGCAGAGAATTTCATCTTCTCCTACATGGGCCTGGCACTGTTTACCTTCCAGAAGCACGTTTTCAGCCCCATTTTCATCATTGGAGCTTTTGTATCCTTTTTTTTTTTTTTTTTTTTGGTTCCACAATTTTCTAGACAGAAACGCCACCGTTGCAGAGGAAGCTATAGTAATGTCTGTTTGCGGTGGGCGGCTGAGCCAGTGTGAGTTCAGGTATTTTTATGATGAGAAAAAAGAAGGCTTACAAGGTTCATAAAGCTGAATGCGTTTGATTTAAAGGACTGGCGTGGATTTCTGCATTTTCTGTGTAAGATGGCCTTTCTGTTACACTTGTGCTTGGCAGGCAGCAGTTTGTTTTGTAAAGAGCCCTTCTTAGCACATCTAACAGTAGGCAACCACGTCTGTCCCCAGAACTATTTTTATTTCTTTGCCAAGTGAATTCCAATCCGGGAGGTTCCCCATCTGGAAAACGCGAAGGTTGTTACTTTTGCTCTTGACTGCACACCGGTATGGCAGCCCTTCCTGGCAGCTCAGGGGAGCTTGTAGGCAATAAGCACGCTTTTACCCAAGCTTTAACATATCATCGTGGAAAAGACTTCTTTTTCCCCAGAAAGAGAAAAGGGAGATGAAGGAAAGATCAAATGGAAAAACACTGGGGTCCTTCATTTAGTCCTACTGGGAGCACAGTTTTCTGGAAGAGAGACACAGTTTTGAGAGTTAGCTTCTCTCAAGTGAGGAGGATGTGAATACCTAGCAGTAGATCAACAGCTGAGGGCTTTGGCCTCAGACCCTGTTGTTTTCATTCAGGTGAACTTTTCTGAGGCTTGGAACTGTAGCAATCCAGCTCAGCCTGGACTGCCAGATCCCGAGTAGGAGTGCTCTATTGCTGGGCATTCACATTTGCTTTTTCCAAGGCCTCACGGATATCCTTAGGTCTTGGGATGCTGGCAAAAAAGAAGCCTTTTTTTTCCTTCTCAGTTTTTATTTCTTGTGCAGGAATAAGTGATACTCAGCAAGCAGCTAGATGGTGGTGATGGTCTAATGCTACATCAGAATCCTTGCACTTAGAGAGTTATCTGCTTCCACTGGGGTTCATTTCTTGGATTGACTGTCAAAAAAACTAACAGCAAGCCCAGCCTGTGTAGCTCAGTGGTTGAGCATCAACCCATGACTCAGGAGGACCTGGTTTGATTCCCCATCAGGGCGTATGCTCAGGTTGCAGGCCCGATCCCCAATAGGGGGCGTGCATGAGCAAATGATCATTGATTCTCTCTCATCATTGATATTCTATCTCTCTCTCCCTCTCCTTGCCTCTCTGAAATCAATAACAATATATTTTAAGAATCCAACAGGTAAAAGTTTGAGGGATCAGTGTTGTTTTTCTTGATGAGGAAAGACCTTGCATGCCATTTTGATTTGTATTCCTAGCACGGCATCCTGTGAGAGATAGTGTGAGCCCAGCCCTTGTTTACAGATGAGGACCGTGGAGGAGGGCCAGCCAGGTCCTCTGTGAATCCTGAAGGCTGGACTTACCAGGCTCCCTTACCAGGGAGGACTTCTGCATGGCTTCTGGAGTAGAATGGGCTTTATAAGCACTACCTGTTTCCTTTTGTTCAAAACAAAACACAAAAGAAGAAAATTTGAGTCAGTGTTTTACCCCGGAGAAGGCAGAAGATAGTTCTGCCCATGCTTGTGTCTGAAACAGCTGCAGCTGTGGCAGCTGGTGCTTTGCCGAAACGGAAGCTTCCTGTTCCTCTGGCTCCCACGGTGCTTTCCTTCTGTGATGGGGGCTGTGTGCACTCTCTGTTGAGCTCTCTGTTGGGCTCTGTTCTAAATTCAGCAAGTGACGAATGACTGGTTTCCCTGAATTCTTTGGTTTCCACAGTACAGTTCCTCTTCCACACTTCGTTTTCCATTTCTCATATCTCTGAAAGACATTTCAGTCACCGAAGTGGAAAAGTCTTCCCAGGTTGATTCTTGTGAGGAACATGAACATGTCTTAGTATTATGTGAGGTTTTCTGTTGTTCTTTTGTGAATCCTCACCTGAGGATATTTTTTCCATTGATTTTTAGGGAGTAGAAGGGAGGGAGAGGGGGAGAGAGAAGCATTGATGTGAGAGAGACACATTGGTTGCCTCCTGCATGTGTCCCAACCCCAACCAGGGCCAGGGATCGAGCACAGCAACCGAGGTACATGCCCTTGACTGGAATCGAACCTGAGACCTTTCAGTCTGACACTCTAACCACTGAGCAACCGGCTTGGGCTGTCTTAGGATTATGAATGCTTCAAGTTTCCCCACCTCTTGTCCGTAGATCTTCCTGGTCATTCAGGGCCCTGGTGTTCACTTCCAACCACAGCTTATGAGCTTACACAGCAAACTTTGTCTTCATAGTTTGACTCAGAGGTCAGTAATTCTTTCTTTTTGTGGTTTTTCTTCCAAAAGACCCCAACACACTGTTTGCTTCTCTCAGCTCCCCACCCCTTCCATGGGACCTTCGCTTATTTCTGGACTCATTTTAAGATAGACTGTATTGATCATAGCAGCATAATGAAATCAGGCATTTACAACGGTGCATTTAATGTGCTAGGAATGGGCCAGGAGGTTGGGAAAGTTGGTCAGTTGAATACCACTTGTTTTGGAGACTTGTTTGAGGGAAACTAGACAGCCTGGCTTCTTTGTGCAATACTCCTGATTACAATGAGATGTCACAGCATTCCTGACATTCTCTGTTCACCCAGAGGTTGTGATGGTGGCATTCTGGAAACCTGTTGGACCCTTAACCTCCACCTGGTGCTCAGGTTGCCATCTTTCTGGGCAGAGCTGCACATATCTACCCACTCTCCTTCTTTCTCAACTTGGGCAGAAGACATAAGATTGGCTGGAATTTTCAACACATGATGATGTTTTCAGGTAAGACCGTATAAATGTCAAGAAAATGGGTGTTACAAAGCAGGCAGAATTAAAGTATTGACAAGGTTCATAAAAAGAGAAAGATTAAAGTTTCTGGGTCTTCTGTATCCCTGTGGTGCTGAGTAGACAGATGTATATGGTAAACTGACTTAATATTGACTTTGCAAACTACTACCAAATGTGAACATTATCCCCTAAAATATTTGCATACTTATTTCATCTCTGTCACCCAAAGGGCCGGCCTGGAGGTATGTATTGATAGTGCTTAATTGTTCTCTAGTAGATTGTTCATAACCCTTAATCTTCAAGAAGGGCTCCAGATCTAAAATTATAAGTAAAATAGGTGTTTAATGAGAAAGAATATGGGCCATGTCATGCAACATCTCCACCCCAGTTGCAGTATCCTCTCTTGTAAAATAATGAAATTGAACTGAAGTTCCTCCTAACTCTGACTTTCTATGGAGCAAAAGAAATAAAATACACTCATAAGAAAGATGAACTCCAGCTCATTCACACTGTCTCCCAGATACCCCCCGCCCCTTCACTATAAAGCTAGGAAGTATGGAGAAGCCACTGAGAAGGTAAAGGACTATAAGGAACTATGTGGAGATAATGGAAGGAGAGAACAATTGGCATGGGTAGATGGTGGTACGGGTCAGAGTTGATAAATGAGACCCAAGTTAGAGCATTTCTGTAGAGCACAGGAAGGAAATGGTATAGAGGCAAAGTGAGTAGCTGCCCTTTAACGCCATGCAGTAGTTCTTGGGGGCCTCAGAGAGTCATACTGAAACCACACCAACTAGCACTGTTCAGCAAAGCAGTCACTGTCTAGGACTCATTTGCATCTGCCCTTAAAAGTACAGCCTGCGATAATGATTTCCTTTCACTCTGACAAATGTTTGTTGAGCGTTCTCTTTTTATAAGCCGCAGTTTTCGGTTGTGGAGGATACAGAAACCAGCCTCCTGCAAGGAGCTCACAGTCTACTGGGGTGTGGGGGCACGTGTACAACGTGTTTTCTCTGAAGAGAAAGGGGTGAATTGAACAAAAGAGGTATGAAATAAATGAGGAGAGGAGGGACCAGGGCCATCTTCACAAAGGGGTAACCTGTGAACTGAACTTGGAAGAAATGGATTTCAGGAGGCAGCAGGTTGGAAAGGCAAGAACTGTAAGACACATGGGGTAATGCAGAAAGGAGGTGAGGTTGGAAAGGAAAATTACATGTAAAGTGGTATGAACCTTTAGGTTGTGTTGGAATCCCCTGTTGGGTTGGTTAAAGCAGAGGGTACAGGGCGGCCTCGAGAATTTGAATTCCTAACATGTCCTCTGCTGCTGCTGGTTTGAGGACCACACTTGGAGGACCACGGGGAAGCTGCAGTGCTGTGCCGCTTTGGGTTTATATAGGAGCTGGGAACCATTAGAGGTCTCTGAGGAGGACAGTGACAAGATGCTCCTCACATATTAGGAAGGTGGTGGTAGAAAGAGAAAAATGAACTGGACATAACTCACTCACCCAGATGAACTTAAAATATGTGCTTTACCTTCTGTACTAAAAGACTGAGAAGTACACAGCACTGTTTAAAGAAAACTCCTATAAAAATGAGTTTCTGCTGGGAGGACTCACTCTTCAAGGCCATGACCTACCTGAGGTTTCACTTCCATATTGCTTACAGTGTTTACCTAATAAAAGTAAGAAAAATATAGCACACATTGTCTTTCTGATCCTCCAAGTTTTTTTCTTTGAGATAACATCTCTTTAGAGGTTTAAATATTGATTGATTGATTGATCAATGACGTAACTGACCTGTAGGGCAACATAGATTTGTATAAATATTTCACTAGCACAGATTAATAGAAAACATTAACTTTGCTCAGTTTTTTATGTAACTTTTGTGGAGTCACTCTTTTAGTAAATTGTAGTGAAGTTCTCATATTAATTGTGAAATGATTGGAAAAGGTGGGAAAATCTACAAACAGATACAGTGGGCATAACTTTTGTTCTCATATACACACAATCTTGCTCATGGTGAATAGGAATTTATACTACATATGTGTTAAAGACCATGGGTTCAGTCTTAACTAAAGAAAAAATTATGAGCATGGTATGGGGAAGGAACAAAAGAACTTAGATAAACATTAAAACATTGGTACTTAATCTTTATACCCGTTAATATAGATTATCAGAGTCAGTAAACTGGTGCCTGGACCAAATCTGGCTGTTGCCCGTATTCATATACCCAGAGGGCTCAGAATGGCTTTCACAGGTGAAAGTTTATAACTTTGAACCACAAATAAGCAACCCCCCAAAGAATTCCTTTCTTTTCAGTAGTAGAGCTGTATTAGAATGAATTGTACTCATTATTATATTCTTAATTTTCGTCAAATTTTGTGAAAATTTGTTTTCTTTCTTTTATATGACCTACATGACAGCCTTAATTTTTCCTCGTGGCCTACAAAGCATAAAGTATTTGTCACCTTTTGCAGAAAAAGTTCCCAACCCCTGATGTAGATCAGGTTATATAGTTATTTCTCTGTGTGGCCTTGCTAGGGAAATGCTGAACTGTTTTGTGGTTCATAGTACATGAACCACAAATACGCATTTGACATATTCACATCTAGCATGTTTCTGATGTTTATAATGACTGTGTAGTGCATTGGTCATGCTTGGATCACAGACTTGGAGAGCTTAAATTATTTCTTATTTATATTTCTTTTTATTTTATATTACTAGCAGGAGAATTATTTCAGCAATGAAAGAGTTTATTCTAAAATGTGATGTACAAACTAGTGCAGTATTTCTTTTAAATATGTTTTTATTGATTTCAGAGAGAAGAGGGAGAGAGAGAGAAGCATCAATGATGAGAGAGAATCATTGATTGGCTGCCTTGCTCCCTACCAGGGATTGAGCCTGCAACCTGGGCATGTGCTCTGACTGGGAATCAAACCGTGACCTCCTTGGTCATGGGTTGACGCTCAACCACTGAGCCACACCGGCCGGGCTAGTGCAGTGCTTTTATCATTGCATTTGGACATTTTGCAAAAGAAAACTTCAAATAGGAGAACATGATATTCCTTTAAGGTTCTTCTCTCTGCATAAAACAGCTTGGCTCCGGAAATACGAGTGGATATGGTTTATGAGCCCCGAGAGGCAGCAGTGGATTTGAGGTCACACTGTCATTTGGCCGTATAACCAGGAGATCTTCCTCTTCGGTCCCTGCAGGCCTCCGGGGAGCAATGGCATTTGCACTGGCCATCCGAGACACAGCGTCCTATGCTCGCCAGATGATGTTCACGACCACCCTCCTCATTGTCTTCTTCACCGTCTGGATCGTTGGCGGAGGCACAACACCCATGCTGTCATGGCTTAATATAAGGTTGGTTTGAAATAGAGGCTAGTTTGGTGTCTGCACCACTGTGGCCATGCAGGATGTACTTTAGCTTAGCGCCTGGAAGGTTTTTACAGGTTTTTTTAATTTTGTTTTTGAGAGAGATTAAAACGGAAAAACCATAAAAATTCAGAGTATTGAATGTTCCGGGAGAAAAAAAAATGTCGTTAAAATTTTTGTTGGTGTAAAAACACAAGGAATGAGAAACACCTGGACCTTCTAGAGCAGTGACATTAGGGTAAGAATCCAAAAAGTCTTAAAGTGGCAGGAGAGAGAGTAGACATTGCTGTTGGCAACGTCTGGTATTTCGCAATTAAGGTTTGATGTTCACAATTAGAGTTTTGTTTTAGGAGGAAACTGCTGTGTCTCTTTTTGCTTGAGTGCACAAAAGAGGTGACATTTCCTGCAGATCCCTCATCGGTTGCAGCCTCATGGATGTCGCCTGCCTGTATTTTTGCTGCTGTGTCAGAACGAAGGGGCACTGACCTGAGTTTGCTTTTTTAAAAAGAGCATGTCAACTCCAAACTTGGCTGGTGAGCTCCAACACCTTGTGGTAATGAGGACTGAGGAACAGGGAGTAAGAGACCTGCAGCCCAACTCTGGCTCTGGTGTATGAAAGCCCCTCATGTCTTTGGACCTGAGGACAACAGGAAATAAAAGCGCGTTGGCAGATTTCCCCCAGGGAGCCTTCAGCTCTAAGTGAGCACCCTCCATCATTGGAGGTGCTCTCGTCACTTGGCTCAGTTTTGGGTCTGCAGAGGGTGACACTTGGGTAGTGCCGAGGCGTGAAGAAGCCTCTGCAAAGCCACAAGGCGGCAATGCTTTTTCCATTCTCTGCTGGCTTTTAGTTTGTGTTTCCATCTCTAGAATGCAGAGTACATGGGACTGACAGCTGCCAAGCACACCTAGCTCTGAGGAGAGAAAAGGACCTCACAGTCATCCTTGGAGTTAGGGAGAAAACTGGAATTTGAGAGAATAGTCTCCCCCATTGGGGACTTTCATATTGATGACAGGCAGGGGTTTGGCCACTGCCACTTCTACCATTTGGGGGCTGGCATGTCTCAGCCTTGGAGTGGGGATCTGCAGAATCTATGTGGGGCTTCTCAGTGACAGTCACATACTAGCTAACAGTTGTGCTGCAGGTGGCGTTTAAGATGCCACATGTATATTAAGGTAATTCTCATAACATTCCTCTAAGGGAGCTACCACTACTGTTTTCATTTTAGAGTTGGGGATGCCGAGGCACAGAACAGTAACTTGCCCAATGTCACAAAGCTTGAAGTGGACAGCTTGGGATATGAATCCAGGCTACAGAGTCCACACTCTTAACTACCACTGTGCTGTGACTGCCTGTAAGAAGGCTTGCTGTGTTAGGGTCTTTTTATGTTGTAAAATTTGGGATTATTAGAATTTCAGTTTCTTGGCATGAATCTCAAGAGTTATATTAAGGAAAACAGTTCATCTGTGGCAATATAAATCTAGAGAGGAAAATTTACAGCTTTTTGGCTTGTAACTTGAGACATCTTTGTTCTGTGTAGCGGATTAAGAACAAGAAAGGAGGTTTATCCTACACACAGTTGGGAATCTTTGCATTCAGTGGCCTCTGAGATAACTTCCTGCTCCTATGTGGTCACCCAGTAGTTACCCCGGAAGTTCAGAGCCTGATTGAGTCATGTTTTTTAAATGCTATTTCATAAGTCCTTTTTTTGCCCCCTCCAACATACACAGGATCAAATAATTTTCCACTGAGAGTAAAAAGTTGACTTGTGACATTTTGCACTTCTCATAACCCTGTTCAAGAAATGGGACATGAAAACAGCCCTACCCAGAGCTGAGAGTGTGGGCAGCTTTCACTGAGGCACACAAGCAGTAAATATATTAATATAATGTAATAATTGGATTGCACTCAGAACATAGCACTAGCACATGGCCATGTTCCCTACATCCTTGCCAGCATTTGTTGTTATCACAATTTTTTCAACTCAGCTGTTCTAATAGGTATGTGGGGTACATCATTGTGGTCTTAATTTGCATTTCTCTCATAGCTAATAACGAACATCTCTTCATGTGCTTATTTGCCATTCATACATCTTTTATGGTAAAATATCTGTTTAAGTCTTTTTATTTATTCTAGATACTAGTCTAGATGTGTAGTTTGCAAACATTTTCTCCTAGGCTGTAGCTTGTCTTTACATCCTTTTAAAAGTGTCTGCCATAGAGAGAGGATGTTAATTTTCATGAAGGCACTTTATCATTTTTTCTTTTATGGATTGTGCCCTTGATATCATGTCTAAGGACTCTTCATCAAGCCTTAGGTCTCCAAGATTTCTTTCTGTGTTATCTTCTAAAAGTGTTTTGCTTTTACTCTTTACATTTAATTCTGTCATCCATTTTGACTTAATCTATAATAATAAAAGTGTAATATGCTATTTAGACCAGACATGCTTCCAGACGACCTTCCTGATGAAGCCACGGCGTCAGGGGTTGAGGTAGAGGTGCCACGGAGGCGGGTGGGGGCCGGGGTAGAGGCAGCAGTGGCGGCGGCAGGGGCTGAGCCCCTTGCATGAACTTCGTGCATCAGGCCTCTAGTTTTTATATAAGAAGTGAGATGTAGATAGAGGTTTTATTTTATCTAACTATTGCTATCCAGTTGTCAGCACACTTTGAAAAAAAACAACAACTATCATTTCTCTATT